ACAACGTAATTACTTTGGATGGATTTGTTATCCATTAATTATGATGGTACTATTTTTTATGCCATGGATGATAATATTTTTTTTTTTTTATAATATTGTGAGTTCCAGGCTTTTCAATATTGATGTTGAATGAAATAGGATATTTTTACAACTATGCTATCATAGGGGCTTTCTATAGCATCACAAAAATGCTAACACTAAAAGTGTTGGTACACTCTATTATAATATTTACAAAAACTTATGATACGATATATGATATTGTTAGATCGTTAGGAAAGAGATTTCTTAGCAAGCATACATTGCTATGGTTATACTTATTAAGTAATTTTCAACTCTTACGTAGCATTCCACTAACGCTATAATATATTTTTTATAGCACTCATTCATTACATTTTATGAATGTTATAAAATGTTAGACTTTTAATAACATGAGCTAACATAGCATGTCATGCTATTGTTTACATAAGATAGTATTTATTGCATGTTGTAAAAAAAGTAAATTATGCAAATGGTCCTTGAAATTTACACGATGTGTCAATTTGGTCCTTATTGTTTTAATTTGTTCAATTTTATTATTTAATTTAACAGATTGTGTCATATTGGTCCAATAAACAACGACCGTTAAGTTTGGTGGACGAAAAATCGTCACGTGCTCAAATGATGTGCCAATTTGGTCCCTGTTATTTTAATTTACTCGATTTTTGCGGGAATCAAATTGACACATCGTGTAAACTATAGGGACTAAATTAACACATCGTTTGAGTTTCCGTTCACAAAACCTAACGGCTGTTATTTATTGGACTAATATGACACAATTCGTTAAATTAAGGGAAAAAATTAAACAAATTAAAACAATAAAGACTAAATTGACACATCATGCAAATTATAAGGACCATTCGTATAATTTACCCTTGTAAAAAGCGATATTTGTTGTAGTGTTCTTCAATGTAAGCCCATGTCATTGCAAATTGTTCAGCTACAGTACCCTCAAAATCCTTAATTTTTGTGCTTCTAACTTTCTGTATGTCAACCTTAATATTGTGCTTACTTGAAATTGTCTCTGTCAATTACTGAATTGGCCAAGTAGGATTTAACCTTAGGTTTCGTTTGACAATATCACTTTTTAGTCAAAAAGTCACTATTAAAAAGTCAACAACCTATATCAAAAAGTCAAAGATTTTTTTTTTCTTTACTTTTTGCACATCTTTTCATAAAAAACTATAAAGTCATCCCAAACATACTACTAATTTTTTTTATCTTATATTTTAATTAAAAAATTAAAAAATTACTAAAATAACTTATTTCCAAACGAGGCCTTATTATCTCAAAATACCTGTTCACAATCCATTTGCAACTCACATGTGGTACTTCAATGTTTTGACCTTCTACACCCCCATCACCTCTTACATAAAAAGCATAACAAACCCAACCCAGCAAAAACATTAACCTTGTAGTAATAGTTATTAGATGCACTGTATCCTAATTGCTTGGCCATAGCACACAACTCCACTCCATAATAGAAATTTCATGAGAATGACAAAAGCCAAAATAACTTACCAATCCACCAATATAAACCTTCTGCAGATTATAGCTAACTACACTCACATGATGCATTTTGATGGTGAAATAACAAGATCATTTCTCTACATTTTTAAATAGTAAATAATGCTATTATAGAGTGATTACGCTAATAGAACAATAAAATTACTATTAAACTAGTCCATATAAAAAAGAAACAGACAAGATTTTATTCCCCAAAAAATAAATGGCACATTAAATTAGTATTAAATCACAAATCGATTTTCAAGAACCATAAAATCAAGAAATAAATTAATATTTAACATATATACCATAAACAGGTTTCTTCCACCGCCATTATTCTCTATTTGAATCCAAACCATCATTCAATACCAAATTTCAATGTGACTTTGTGACCTTATTAGTTGAATGCTAAACCTTGATTCTGATATTGTGAGATAAATTTGAAAACCCTAATTTTGATTTAGAAGACAAAGGAACCCTAGTTTCTACCGTTGAATTTTGTGAGCGAAAAGCCTTTTATATCTCTAAAAGTTTAGGTATAAAATTAAAATAATCAAAAGTTCAAGAGTCAAATTGATTTTCACACAATAATTTGGAAGTGAAATAATTTTCCTCTACTTAAAAATACTTAAAGTGATACCAAGCAAAAAGAATTAAAAATACTTAACTATTGCTTGTTATAACTTTTTCTTCCACTGAATAACGTTACTTGAACATCTCCAATGCACTAAGCATATAATACTTGTTAGTTAAAATGCCTAGTGTGATTCACTTTTTTCAATTTCAATGTACTAGGCATATGATTAGGTATTTTGGCTCAACTCATATTCACTAGCTACATGTAGCTAACCTTTAACGCTAGGCAAAATGTATTCAATCATTAGGATCATTTCCCTCCATCTTTGTTGTTGACGTGACATTCTATAAAATTAGTAGTATTTGGATAAATAGCTAAAATAAAGAGCATGGTTGGAGTAAAAATATAAAATAGTTGATAGGCAAAATAAAATATATACTTTATAGTAATATTTAGATAGGTAAAATGCCTACTACCGTTGGAGATGCTTATTGAAATTTAAAGTTGGAAAAATTAAGTGACCCAATTAACAATTGACATGTTGCTTTTATTGTATTTATTCTATTGTCTTTAGTCTGACTTAGTTCATTCTGAAAAGGCAATGGTGGCATTAATTAAGTTGCCTTGTTCTTTTCATGACTAATGTACATATGAGACATCTTAATTTCCTACATCACATTGTGGAGTCAGCTATAGGGTTGGGGAATGCTGATATTTTATTTGAACATTTTGATTTCTTTTAATTTTTGTATGTTTTGACATTTGGTAAAAAAAAATGTTTTTAAAAACTTCACCAATACTTTATAATTGTACTAATTATATCAGATATTACACAATTTAGACAAGGTATTCTTCTTTTCTTTTTGGAGAATACACATAATATAAGCAAATAGAATTTCACCAATCTACTAGAGCCAACAGTCAAGGTCCATAAGTCTCGCTTCTTATTTTGAAGAATATTAATAATAATATTAATAATTGCATGAATGAGGTAAGACATCATCACGTCACACTTTATTAATGAAAAATAATTAATTAAAAAACAAAAATGATTTGAACCCCCACAGGTGAGGCACCCCCACGACCCCATCTGGCTATGATTGGCTAGTTTTTTTTTTTTTTTCTCCTCCTCCAATCATCAGCCCCCACATGTATGTGGGGGTGGTGGAGGTGGTGATTAGAGGGGTCTCAATCACTTCTCATTAAAAAAAACTCAAAAAAAATTACAATGGGTGCAATTGCTGCAGTCAATCAAGTGTTCCTCTTTTCTGTATTGCCCCTTGTAAATGGTTCTTCAATTTGAAGAACATCTAAATGCCCCATTTGTTTGATTAGAGTGAAAAATATAATGAAAAAGTGAAAGTGATAAAAAATGAAGTGAAAAAAAAAAAATATTAAATTATTTTCTAGTGTGCATTTGGGTAGGATGAAATTTTTGTGAGAAAGTTATAACAGTTGACTACTTTGATGATATATATATATTGCTCAAAAAGTTGTCATGTTGATATGGGTTATACAAGAAATTTATTTTCTTGCATTTTTCACTACTCTCATATTGAATAAATGCAAGTGAAGTTTCAGTTTTGTTTTTTTTTTTTTCTGCCTCACACTTTCCACCACTTTCATCCTAATCAAACTCAACCCAAGAGAGGTAAATAAAAGACTTGATATGTTGGTCAACTGATCTAAAAGAGTAATCTGTGTGGTCACCATCCTAGATGTGTTTGTATAAGTTGTAAGATGCCTGGAGTTTTAATCAATTAGAGTGTTTCCCAGTTCAAAAGTAGTAGTTAAATATGTTGCATATATATATATACAAAATTTACAGCCAAAACACATACCTCAACTTTCATGGAATTATTTATGTTGTCATGTTAAATATATAAAATATATACCTCAACTTTCAAAAGTAGTAGTTAAATATGTTGTCATGTTGATATGGGTTAACAACAATGGAAGTAAGATTATTTATTTATTTTTGTCTTCAAATATGCAAGTTGATAAGAATTATTGGAAATCTATTAAATTTGTAATTTTGTGTATTCTATTGGTGGCATTTATCAAATTGTCATATACTTTCCAGAATTAATTTATACGTATTAGGAATCGTAATTTCTTGCTTCACATTGTGGAGTCAGTTTTGGGGTTAGGAAATGTTGATAATACATTCAAAGATTAATTTCTTCCAATTTTTGTGTGTTTTGACATTTGGGAACAAAAGGTTTTTGTGTAGTGCTTTATTATTGTACTATTATATCAGACATGACATAAAGCCCAGGATTATCCTCAACTAACAGAGGAACATGTCAGAGCTTAGGCAAGTTTTACCCACAAAAATAAATATTTTCTTCTTTTATTTTTGGTGAAGACAAAAATAAATAAACTTCAACCAATCTACTGGAGTCAACAATCAATGTCCAATAGTCTTGTTTCTAATTTTGAAGAATACTAATAAATAATCATAATAATATTAACAATGAAAGGGATGAAACAAGACATCACCACATTGATCTATTCGCATGAATATAAATTAATGAATGATTATTTCAAAAAAAAAAAACAAAACTCGCAATCATGACAGATATAAAGGCTACAATTAACCAGGTGTACCTCTGTTTGTATTGTCCCCAGTTGGTATTGATCAAAAAGCTATTTAATTTGATGAACATCTAAAGTCATCTAGGGACAAAATTAGAAGACTTGATCTGTTAGTCAATCGATCTAAAAGAATACTGTGTGTGGTCATTACCAGTAAATTGTTATAAGGTGCTAGGTATTTTAGTAATTAGACTGTTTTCCCATATTAGAAGTAGTAGTCAAATTTGTTGCCTATATATACACAACATGATTTAGAACCAAAACATACCGCAACTTTTTTACTTTCAAATGGCACAACGTTTTTTGAGTTTAAGCCTGATCTTCCCCCCATCCTTGCTAGTTGTTTTTTTCTTGATCCTAGACTTGTTACTTTCAGAGTCTGTCTTGACAAACTTACTCTCAAACCAAACTGATAAACTTGCACTGCTCGAGTTTAAATCCCTAATAAATTATCAAACTGTAGGAGCATTGGCCTCTTGGAATGATTCAACGCCACTTTGCCAGTGGGTTGGAGTCACATGTGGCCTCAAACACCAAAGGGTCACCAGCTTGAACCTGTTTGATCAGATGTTGGTTGGGACTATATCACCCAACATCGGAAATCTCTCTTTCCTCCACTCCCTCAACCTCGGAACCAATTCCTTCTATGGTGAAATCCCCTTAGAAGTTGGCCGCTTGATTAGGCTGCGAGATTTGATCTTGACCAATAACTTTTTGCAAGGACAAATCCCTGTCAATTTGTCTCAATGTACCAACCTCATCAATCTTGCATTAGACAACAACCGCCTTGAAGGTCCAATTCCTTTCGAGCTTGGATCATTGTCAAGGCTTGTGACATTCTCACTCTATCACAACAATCTGACAGGAAAAATCCCAACTTCCATTGGTAATCTATCGGCTCTCCAAGTGTTTATAATAGCAAATAACAATTTGGAGGGAGAAATTCCGGATGCAATTTCCCAAATGACAAGTTTAAAAGATTTCCAAGTGGGAGTAAATAAATTTTCCGGTCCGTTTCCTCCTCTTTACAATCTTTCATCACTCATAACACTAACTTTGCCTTTTATCATTTTTTATGGTAAACTCAGGGTCGACATGGGCTTTCTTCTTCCAAATCTTTAATTCTTCTTTCGTCAAGTGATCGATTACTGGACCTATACCAGTTTCTTTATCCAACGCTTCAAATCTTCAAGAAGTTTAGTTTGGTGGAAACATATTTATTAGAAACATACCCATAAATCTTTGCAATTTAAAGATTTTATATCGACTTTCCTTCGCAAATAATATTCTTGGAACTGGGTTTGATGATATGAGTTTTCTCACTTTTTTGACCAATTGCAGCCAACTATAATATATTGATATAAGCAAAATCAGTTCGAGGGTGCATTGCCTAACTCAATTTCCAATATGTCAATCCAATTGACTTGGCTACATGTTGGAGAGAACATTATTAGTAAAAGTAGGGATGATCACGGGTGAGGTTTGGGGCAGGTTTGTCGTAATTCGCCCCTGCCCCGTTTCATATCGGGTGCAAGGCAAATTGGGGGTGGTGGTAATGGGGCGGGGACGGGTTTTTTTACAAGTTGAAAATCAAAAATATTAATAAAAATTGTAGTAAATTATGGATAATAATTTATACTTAACAAGAATTATAACAAATAAAAAAATATATATATGATTAAAAATTAATATTAAGTATAACATTCTAGTGTTTTAATTTTATTATAATGAAAAAAAATTAAATTATATATTATATAAAACTATATTTGATTAGTATAATGGAGATGGGGGTGAGAATAGGAAAATGCGTCCCCACAGGTAATTCTATTTAAATATCCTTACTTATCTTAGTATATAATATTAATAAAAATTGTAGTAAATTATGGATAATAATTTATACTTAATAAGAATTATAACAAATAAAAATATATATATATGATTAAAAATTAATATTAAGTATAACATTCTAGTGTTTTAATTTTATTATAATGAAAAAAAATTAAATTATATATTATATACATATAAATATATTTAATAAATCTAATCGGGGAGGGAGAAGCAAAACCCCGTCCCCGCTTCACTTCCTCGATGGGGCAGGAAAACCCATGCGGGGCAGGGGATGCGATTTGCGGGGCGGAGTGGGAGAAAATGCCCATTCCTAGGTGGAAGCATTCCTAATGAGATTCAAAACCTTATTAACCTAAATGTACTAGGGATGGAGTATAATTTGTTGATAGGTATCATGGGGAAACTTTCAAACTTGAAAAGTTTGTATTTAAGAGGAAACCATCTAATGGGGGAAATCCCCTCTAACATCGGTAACATGACTCAACTTTTTTATCTTCTTTTGAATAATAATAGCTTACAAGGAAACATACCTGAAAATAAACTCAATGACACCATACCTGAACTTCTCATGAATCTCTTATCACTTTCTGTAGGCCTTGACATATTATACAATTCCTTAACAGGCACATTGCTCGTAGAAGTTGGAAACTTGAAGGAACTTCTTATCCTAGATGTTTCATACAATAAATTGTCTGGCGAGATTCCTAGCGCACTAGGGAGATGTTTGGCCTTGGTGCAATTGTATATGCAACAAAACCTCTTCCATGGGATTATTCCTTCAATTAGTCAGTTAACGGGCCTTCAATATTTAGATCTCTCTAGCAATAAATTTTCAGGCCAAATTCCACAATACATGGTGAATCTTTCCTTTCTTCTAAATTTGAATTTGTCCAACAACAATCTTGAAGGTGAGGTACCCACACAAGGAGTTTTCAGCAATGCAAGTGCTGTTGAAATCTACAACAACATTAAGCTTTGTGGGGGAATCCCAAAGCTGCACCTACACCGCTGCCCTACTCAAGAACTTCAAAAACCAGGGAAGCATACTACTCTAAAGTTAGTACTGGTGATTGTCATTCCTATTTTTTTAATAGGCTTGACGTTGTTTTTGCTTTCATTTTACCCGATAAGAAAATTGAAGCAAAAATCTCTAGAAACATATTCATTTGGACGCTTCTTTCCAAAAATCTCTTACACAGATCTCCTCAAAGCAACTGATGGATTCTCTACTGAGAATTTGATTGGATCTGGTCATCATGGAAGAGTGTACAAAGGAATGCTCAGTCCTGATGAATCAACTGTGGCGGTTAAAGTACTCAATCTTCATCAACGAGGAGCAGCCAAAAGCTTCGTGGCTGAATGCCAAGTTTTGAGAAACATTAGACACCGTAACCTTGTCAAGGTCCTGACTGCTTGCTCCAGTACTGATTATGAAGGCAATGAATTTAAAGCTCTAGTATATGAGTTCATGCCAAATGGAACTTTAGAAAGCTGGTTGCATCCAAGAGATGGTCAATCACAAACAAGAAAATTAAACTTTCTCCAGAGGATAAACATTGCAATAGATGTGGCTTTCGCATTGCATTATCTTCATAATGAATGTCAAATGCCTATTGTTCACTGTGATATAAAGCCAAGCAATATTCTTCTTGACAATGACCTTACAGCTCATGTAAGTGATTTTGGTTTGGCAAGGCTTCTAAATGTGTATGTACCTATAGGTATACTTCTCTCTCTCTCTCTCTCTCTCTCTCTCACACACACACACACACACACACACATTGGATTTATTTTCTATATTGAAACTTCTATCATAAGATGCATTTAAATTTCAAAAGAATTAGAGCTTCACAGAAAAGAATGGCCTCTTACCATGATTAAGAAAAAAATTCAGTATATCATTTATTACAAAGTATTTGTATGGTTGACCAATTTCATGACTTCTATCACATTGTTTAAGACATGAGTAAAGCTATAAGATCAAAATTTTTATACAAAATTCTCATATAGAATGATTTGCAATTTTGTAAAAAAAAAAATTCAAACTAAAACATCCATTATTGTGGCTCACAATTTCAAAATGTCATTACAATATCTAGTCGAGTTTTTATGTATAAAAAATTAGTTTGTTGATCACTTTTCTTAGCCAGTATGAGATAATTATAAAACTATGTTATGGGTGAAGAGGTGTCAACTCGTGGGGACACGTATAGCTTTGGAATCCTCTTGTTGGAGATGTTTACTGGTAGAAGGCCTACTGACGAGCTATTCAAAGACGATTTGAACCTTCACAACTTTGCTAAAATGGCATTGTGTGGGCGAGTAACAGAGATTGTTGACCAATTCCTATCAAGTGAGGTAATGCAAGGAGTTCAAGATTGCATTGGAAGTTCGAGTGAGCATACAAGGATAGAATTCTTAGTTTCTGTATTTCAAATTGGAGTGGCATGCTCATATGATTTTCCAATAGATAGAATGAACATGAGTGATGTTGTCTTGGAATTTCTCTTAGTCAAAGACAAATTTCTTGGAAATGGAGTGCGCGATAACACAACCCAGTTTACAAGTGAAATCTCTGAAGCTATAGTATAGTATGGTCGGTAGATTAATTTGTTCTGTTTTGTTTTGTTTACTAGGCATAAATTTCTTAAATTCTTATTTTCCTTTCAATTTCAAAGGTTTTGTTTGCATGTAATAAGGTTTTGTTTGTGTGTAAAGTTTCCTATATAAATGGGTTTCTCTTTGTGGAGTATCGCGTATCAATGTCAAGAACGCTATAAGTTGTTGATTAAAATTGAAATTCTCCTCATGTTTTAATCTTGTCAGTTTCTTATTTTTGTTTAGTTAAATTACACCAATAGCCTTTATAGTTTATAGTTTAGCGAAGTGTAACTTTAGTCCCTGCATAAAAAAAAAATTTCAAACTAAAACATCCATTATTGTGGCTCACAATTTCAAAATGTCATTATCACATTATCTAGTTGAGTTTTTATGTATAAAAATTTAGTTTGTTGATCACTTTTCTTAACCAGTATGAGGTAATTATAAAACTATGTTATGGGTGAAGAGGTGTCAACTCGTGGGGACACGTATAGCTTTGGAATCCTCTTGTTGGAGATGTTTACTGGTAGAAGGCCTACTGACGATCTATTCAAAGATGATTTGAACCTTCACAACTTTGCTAAAATGGCATTGTGTGGGCGAGTAACAGAGATTGTTGACCAATTCCTATCAAGTGAGGTGATGCAAGGAGTTCAAGATTGCACTGGAAGTTCGAGTGAGCATACAAGGATAGAATGCTTAGTTTCTGTATTTCAAATTGGAGTGGCATGCTCATATCATTTTCCAATAGATAGAATGAACATGAGTGATGTTGTCTTGGAATTGCTCTTAGTCAAAGACAAATTTCTTGGAAATGGAGTGCGCGATAACACAACCCAGTTTACAAGTGAAATCTCTGAAGCTATTGTATAGTATGATCGGTATATTAATTTGTTATGTTTTGTATGTTTACTAGGCATAAATTTCTTAAATTCTTATTTTCCTTTCAATTTCAAAGGTTTTGTTTGCATGTAAAGTATAAGGTTTTGTTTGTATGTAAAGTTTCCTATATAAATGGGTTTCTCTTTGTGGAGTATCGCGTATCAATGTCAAGGACGCTAGAAGTTGTTGATTAAAATCGAAATTCTCCTCATGTTTTAATCTTGTCAGTTTCTTATTTTTGTTTAGTTAAATTACACCAATAGCCTTTATAGTTTATAGTTTAGCGAAGTGTAACTTTAGTCCCCGCAGATTTGAAAAAATGTAACCCCTACACTTTTAATTTTGTTGCAATGTAGTGGTCCATTTGTGACTCATTGTTAACATTTTGAACGGAAAAGATCACGTGCAAAAGAGAGACCAAAGTGAATTCAAAACAAATGATAGGGACCACTGGTATGTTGATATACAAGGCAAATTACGCTAATAGTCTCTGTATTTTGGTCTTTGTGTCATTCTGGTCCTTATAATTTTAATTAGCTTGATTTTGATTCTAAATTTATAATTTTGTCTCAATTTAATCCAATTACTTACAATTGTTATTTTTTTTAACAAAAAAAATATGCAAGTGACATACGTCATGCTTTTAAAGGCAAAATTATAAATATGCTCAACTTAGTGTGCTAACCTTAGCTAATTCAGTGATCAATTTTTGCCAAACACACTAATAACGTTATCAATTACATCAAATTGACACTGAGAGAATAAATTTCATTGCAAGAACTATGGAATCCCAACAATGTCACATGGCATAGTTATGGATTATCCCGCATAAGGCGATGGTTAAGACCTAATCAAACACTACAACAATATTATACGTGGAGTAGTTTTCATTGTGAGATGATATTGTATTAATATAGAAGTCCTAAACAATCGGAAATTGTTTGAGAAATGACTTCTGCAGCACTTAAACTACTTGCTAGATAAGACCACACCCCCATGGATTAAGGTACGTTATTTTCTCTATTTAATTTGTCCACTAAATATTTTTTTAATATTGGAGGACAAACTTGGGCGTCGAAAGACCCCTAACCATTCAATGGATGTAGTGTGGGGTCAAAATTGAACCAATTGAAAGTGTATAGACCAAAATGACACGAGACAAAATGTAGGGATTACCGGTATAATTTTTCCTTTTTCTAATATTTTTTAATGGGTTATAATTTATGAAATTTTTTTTTCAAAAAATATAGTTTGTGTTTAGTTATGATCTTGAAACTAATATACTAGTGATGGTTTTGGTGGTAATAGTGAGGTGGTGGTGGTGGTGGTGGTGGTGGTGGTTGATGTGATGGTGGTGATGGTAGCAGTGGCAGTTGTGAAGTGATGGATGTGAGGTGGTGGTGGTAGTAATGTGGTGGTATTGGAAGAATTTTAGTCTAGAAAATATTTTCTACATTTCAAAAGTGAAAATCATTTATTTATTTTTAGTAGGGATGAGTAAAAAATTTGAAAAATCATTTTTGTATGTCAACTTTCATATTGTGCTCACTTGAAATTGTCTCTGCCAATGACTGAATTGGCCATGTAGGATTTAACCTTCAGTCTCGTTTGGCAATATCACTTTTTAGCCAAAAAGTCACTAAATTAATAGGCCAACAACTTATACCAAAAAGTCAAAGATTTTCTTTTTTCTCTACTTTTTGTACATCTTTTTATAAAAAACTAAAAAGTCATCTCAAACATACTAATTTTTTTTACCTTATATTTTAACCAAAAAGTCAAAAAATTACTAAAATAACATATTTCCAAATGAGGCCTTATTCTTTCAAAATACCTCTTCACAATCCATTTGGAACTCACATATGGTACATCAATGTTTTGATCTTCTACACCCCATCACCTTTTACATAAAAAGCATGACAAACCCAACCCAGCAAAAACATTAACCCTGTAGTAATAGTTATTGGATGCACTATATCCTAATTCCTTGGCCATAGCACACAACTCCACTCCATAATAGAAATTTCATGAGAATGACATAAGTCAAAATAACTTACCAATACACCAAGATAAACCTTCTAAGGATTATAGCTAACTACACCCGCATGATACATTTTGATTGTGAAATAACAAGATCATTTCTCTACATTTTTTAATAGTAAATAATGCTATTATAGAGTGATTACGCTAATAGAACAATAAAATTACTATTAAACTAGTCCATATAAAAAAGAAACAGACAAGATTTTATTCCCCCCAAAAAAAAATGGCACATTAAATTAGTATTAAATCACAAATCGATTTTCAAGAACCATAAAGTCAAGAAATAAATTAATATTTAACATAAATACCATAAACAGGTTTCTTCCACCGGCATTATTCTCTATTTGAATCCAAACCATCATTCAATACCAAATTTCAATGTGACTTTGTGACCTTATTATAGGGGTGAGCATGGTCTGGATTGGACCTGATTGGGGTAAAACCAGGACCAATCCGTTATTTACGGTTTCTGAAAAATTGGAACCAATCCAATCCGTTTAAATCATGGAACCAATCCGAACCAATCCATTTAAATACGGATTGGATCGGTTTAGGACCACGGATTCACATAATTAAATAACAAAATATATATATATAAAACACTTTAATTTCATAAAAATATAAACATAGCGCTATATTAATTCCACAATAGTAACATGCCTTTCTATAATAGCGACATACTGTTCTAGAATCTAAACAACCATAAGAAAATTGGTTTCACCATAAGTGTTTAGACCATTACAAATTAAAATTAAAAACTAACAAACAAAAGTAATAAAAGAAGATATTATGTAGGTTTAGGTTTGAGTTTATGTTTTATATGGAATAAGAGAAGATACTATGGGGGTGGATGTATAATAAAAATATAGACTATTTGTATACGGTTCGGATCGGTTCCAATCCGGAACCGTGGGGTTTAATCCGGAACCAATCCGTGGACTACGGATTTTTAATTCTTTAATCCGGAACCGAACCACGGATTCAAAAAATCAATCCAAACCTATCGGATTGGACTGGACTGGATCGGATTACGGATTTCACGGATTCCTTGCTCAGCCCTACCTTATTAGTTGAATGTTAAATCTTGATTCTGATATTGTGAGATAAATTTGAAAACCCTAATTTTGATTTGGAAGACAAAGGAACCCTAGTTTCTACCGTTGAATTTTGTGAGCGAAGAGCCTTTTATATCTCTAAAAGTTTAGGTATAAAATTAAAATAATCAAAAGTTCAAGAGTCAAATTGATTTTCACGCAATAATTTGGAAGTGAAATAATTTTCCTCTACTTAAAAATACTTAAAGTGATACCAAGCAAAAAGAATTAAAAATATTGCTTGTTATAACTTTATCTTCTTCCACTGAATAACGTTACTTTTCCTCCTTAGAGTATTGAAATTTAAAGTTGGAAAAATTAAGTGACCCAATTAACAATTGACATGTTGCTTTTATTGTATTTATTCTATTGTCTTCAGTTTGACTTAGTTCATTCTGAAAAGGCAATGGTGGCATTAATTAAGTTGCCTTGTTCTTTTCATGACTAATGTACATATGAGACATCTTAATTTCCTACATCACATTGTGGAGTCAGCTATAGGGTTGGGGAATGCTGATATTTTATTTGAACATTTTGATTTCTTTTAATTTTTGTATGTTTTGACATTTGGTAAAAAAAAATGTTTTTAAAAACTTCACCAATACTTTATAATTGTACTAATTATATCAGACATTACACAATTTAGACAAGGTATTCTTCTTTTCTTTTTGGGGAATACATATAATATAAGCAAATAGAATTTCACCAATCTACTGGAGCCAACAGTCAAGGTCCATAAGTCTCGCTTCTTATTTTGAAGAATATTAATAATAATATTAATAATTGCATGAATGAGGTAAGATATCATCACGTCACACTTTATTAACGAAAAATAGTTAATGAATGGTTAATTAAAAAACAAAAATGATTTGAACCCCCACAGGGGAGGCACCCCCACGACCTCATCTGGCTGTGATTGGCTAGTTTTCTTTTTTTTTTCTTCTCCTCCAATCATCAGCCCCCACGTGTATG